ACTTTCCACCTCTTCCATGCAGTACACGCCCTCCTTTGTTTCTCAGATGCAGGATCAGATGGAATCCAGGGTCCAGGCTCTTCGGGAACAAATGGAAGTCGACATGGAAGCCCGAGTTCAAGCCCAAGTACGAGCCCAAATGGAAGAAATGGAGAAGAGGCTGGAAGAAAGGATGATGGGTCGTTACGCCAATGACACATGTTCCAACGTGCGACCTCCATTTCGAGATCCCAGGGACGACGACCCGGGTTTTGGTGGAGCTGGCCAGGGCTCTCGCACTATTGTATAGCATTGATGAACTTAGTGTTTATTGTAAACATTGGAATTAGTATCTAAATATATATATATATATATTTTTGCACAAATTATTCAGTGAGTAATATAAAAGGCAGGAATTACAGGTTTGTCCCGGAGGAAAATATATAGCCAAAATAGAAAATTGTCGTCGTTAATTCCGTCGTAAGATTCTGACGGAAAGAAATTCCGTCGCAAAGAGGAAATTTTCCGACGGATATTTCCGTCGGTATGTTGCGACGGAATTATTCCCTCGGAAAGGGGAGGATCTTCCGACGGAAATAAATCCCTCGGAAACTTCCAACCTTCCGACGGAATATTCCCTCGGAAAGGGGGGGATCTTCCGACGGATTTTTCCGCCGGAAGGTTGGAATATTCTGAGGGATTTATGTCCGTCGGAACGTTGCGACGGACCTCCATTTCTGGTCAAACTAAAGTTCCGAGAAATTATAATCCGTCGGTAAAGACGTTTTCGACGGAAAATCCCTCGGTATAACCCAAATTTCCGACAATATAATCTCCGACAACGTGTTCCGACGGAATTCCCGTCGGAAACTGGCCTTTCCGACGGATTTTTAGGGCATACCGACGGAATATTTCCCTCGTAAATCAGCCGTTTTCTAGTAGTGGCTGTAGCTGAGTGTCTTTCTCAGCTTTCTTTTCCTCGTGACAATCCGCGAGGTATTTCTTCAAGTACCCCCTTCGGACCAGATCCTCAATCTGATCCTTCAGCTGGATACACTCTTTGGTGTTGTGTCCATGGGCGTCATGGAATTCACACCACTTGCCCTTGTTCTTGCTTTGGTTCCATAACGATGGCACCCCCGGCTTTTTCCACTTCTCATCGTTCTTCGTTATGCTGTAAATTTTAGCACGCGGAAGAGCGAGAGGAGGGTAGGACTCATATTTCCCAGTGAATAGGGTTTTCTCTTTCTTCGAATTAGGTGCCGAAGAGGGTTGTGATACTTTTTCCTTACCTTTCTTCTGGCCCTAGCCTTCTGTTGAGTTTCATAGCGTCTAACGCTACGCGGAAGAGAAACCCGCCCAAGACCCGCTCACTAATTAAAGCAACTAAACATGCAATCACATAATTAACAACATAACAGAGAAAAAGAGAAAAGACATTCTTACCCTGGACGTGTGCTTCGCTCGATTCACGAGCTCTTCCTTCAAAGCTCGAGCCACGTAAGTGCGACGGCCTCCTACGGCTCGCACCCTCGACTTGACCCAAACGGTCTTAATCCCGAAGGTTAGTCGGGACTTGACCAAACAAAACTAGAGTATTACGAACTTAAAGGTTTTCTCACTAATGATGAGATGCCTTATTGAGTTCAAATCAAGTGATTTTTCCCAAAGCCAAAACTTGGGTATTTTTAGGAAATGGAGACTTTATCTCCCTTCTTCCATCAATGTGGGAGATTTGCATTTTTCCTCTATTTTATTTTAATCAAAAACAAAATAAAAATGTAAGGCAATCAACAAGCTCCAAGTGTGACATGGAGGGAGAGAATAGGTGAGGACCACCAGGGGGGGACCAAATCACCTTGCTCTCCAAGCCACACAACAACCCCTTGGTCCCCTCCTCTTGACCGGCTGACCATGCCACATGGCTGGCTGGCAGCCTGCCTTGGCTGCCAAGGCTACCAGCTGGCGCCTAGCACCAAGGCTGGGAAGCCCAGCCAGCCAACACGCATGCGATGCTGTTGTGCTGCTGCTACTTGGTGCGAGGCTGCGAAGAGCTGGCACACACGCACAGCATGCTGCGATGGCTGGCTCTGCTTGGCTAGCAAGCACATACAACCACACACACGCACGCATGGCTTGCGATGCTGCGTGCTGCGCTGTGCGATGCCCAGTATGTTGCGATGCTCATGCTAGGTGAGTGCAATGCTTGCGGCTGGGTGCATGGCCCAGCACACTAGCACGCTAGCATACGCTAGTTGCTAGCATGCTTGCGGCATGCTTTGCGATGTGCATGGTAGCTTAGGCTAGCTTAGAGGCTACGACCTAGCTCAAACCTGTCGCTTGTTGAATCTACGTCTCGTCGAATTCTAAATTCGACTCGACTTACGACGCTCTAAGCTAGACATCCGACGTCTTTGTTCGTAATACTCTAATGACTCATCTAATACTTCAGATTGATTCGTCGTTTCGGATTGGTTATTCGATAGGGGTGCGACCGGAAGGGTTTAGTCAAGATTAAGCCGTAATATTAATTATGCATTAATATTACTGATCGAAAGCGGCCTCCACCTAGGCATTCCGATCACTTGACCTTACTGAAGAATTAGCTTTCTAATAATTCTGAACCCTCTATCGGAATAATACACTTGTTGGAAGGACACCATTCCTTTCACCTTCGGACTGATGTCCCTTTGCTTTACCGGTCCCAGGCTGAGGTTGGGACTTGGTTTGTTCCATTACTCGGCTCAAATGTATTTATTTGAAGCATCAAGGGCTTCCTCCAAGGTCTGTGAGGTATGCATAACCATGAAGTCGAGAAATTTCCCGATTGGCAGCCCATTCTGTAGTGTAAAAACGGCTAGCCCTTGGTCCGGATTTGTGATTCTGGAGAACTCGTTGTTGAATCGAGTCAGATAGTCTCGAAGACTCTCTTCGTCTCCCTGCTGCAAGCTCATAAGCTCAGCAGTGGTTTTCTCTCGGCGATTTACCGTGGAAAATGTACTCTTGAATTTGTGAGAGAGGTCCTACCATCCAGTGATTGACCCCTCTTCCACCCCCTTAGTAATCCAAGCTTGTGCTACTCCCTTCAGAGTTGTAGGGAAGTACTTGCACCAGGTTGCTTCGGATAGAGGGTTCAGGTACATATGCCCCTCGTAGGAGGCTATATGCTCCTTCGTATCTGAAGTCCCGTCATAGGTAATGTGCGCTTGGATCTTCACCATTGGCACTTTTTCTTCCAGGATCCACGGAACAAATGGAGACTTGGAAGGCTTCATTACTGCCTTCCCTTTGGTCCTAGCCGTTGGGACCTTGCTTCCCTCTCCCCAGGAGGTGGAAGTGGTTTTCGTCCTCGGTTGGGACTGTGAAGGGTAGGGCTGACTCTCATGAGGGTACGTCAGGTGGCTGTGAATGCTCACCTCCCTCCAGCCGATACGTTCATGAATGTTTCAGCGAACAGTATCGGTTCGCACGGACGCGATGTTACTGCTTTTGAAGCTTCGGCCTCGGATTCCTTGAAGAACTGGGGGTTTCTTGTTTTTTTTCCCCGCATCCTCTAAATATCCTCTTCCCAATTTTCCCCGAGTTCTTTTTGAGATGGAGCTCCTCCTCCATCTTCTTGACCTATTCTCCTTCTTTGGTTTCTCGGCTGCTCAATTGTATCAGCATGCACCGAGCAGACAGGAGGGGGGGACCTGTTGATTTGCCTGGGCCTTCATGAAATCCATGAAGAGCGCTAGGGCTTTTGCTACCTCTTCCGAAGTGGGACCCGTTTGGGGTGTCCACCTCGGGTGAGACTACGAGTGGCGGCTAGGAGTTGGACTCTTAGCATTCGACTGACTCGGCCGGCGAGAGCTCGACGGCTGACCAGTGTTGTGAGATGGTCTCTCAGGCGAGGCTTTCTCGGAAGAGGCAACCTCTAAAGACGAAGAAGAGGAAGGACCTTTCTTCACAGCGGAATATGAAGGGTTAATTTTCTTTGCACTCTTAGTCATATTGCTAAGTGAATTGATTTTTGGCTTATTTGTTATTGTCTTTCCCACAGACGACGCCAAATTATTTTGGGCACAATAGGTCATTCGGCTGGACCTTAGTAGTGGGCTGAAGACTGGACTTGGACCAAGTGACGACTAGGACGAGGGTTTCTTGCATAGCAAACACACGTAAATTGGCCTCGGGGGTGTAGCCGAGGAAGGCTCCTCCAATGTCGAAGTTAGTACAGTGTATTTAGAGAGAAAAAGCTATGCAAGAGAATTTAATGCTTGAGGCTTTGTGTAGATAAAATGAGAAGGATAGAAGTCAAGACTTTTATATCTTGCACTTGAGAGAGCTATTGGGCTCTTTAGTCACATGGACTTGCCATGTGGATTGGGCTGCTTTGACTAATCCTTGGCATGCTTGAGGAGATTTAAATCTTTTTAACCCTTTTATTTATGGACCGGCCCAATTAGAGTAAATTGGACCCAAACACTAATAATTTAGACATTAACTAATTCACAACTACTCCATAACTCTTTAGCAAGATCAATACCTCCCGTAATCCTTTACGAAGAACGTTAACGGGAGACGGGACACTTCCAGTCCAATTTGATGAACTATTTCCACACACAAAATTTGGAGGAAAAGTTCGCTTCATGCAAAAATTAGTGTATTAGTTGTGGTAGTAGACTAGTAGTGTACAACTAGGGGTGTACACCGGTCCAAAACCAGACCGGACCTGGACCGGACCTGTTTGGACCGGGGACCTGAATTGGGTAATTATGAGGATCGGGGACCGGACCTGAATTAACAGGTCCGGTTCCGGGCTAGACCTGAAAAATCAGGTCCGATCCAGGTTTGGACCTGAATGGACCTGTTTTGTGATTTTTTCGCTTTTTTTTTTATTTTTTTTAATAAAAAACTTGTTGGACCTGCATATGGACCTGCGTATGGACCTGTTTTGTGATTTTTAGACCTGTTGCATAATTAAATAATTACATACAAACCAAAATTATTAATCACAAAAGTACAAAACTACATAAAGTCTATAAAAGTATAAAGTCCCAATTCTCAAACACCAAAAATACCAAAAAAAAAAAAACATAAATTCGATATGAAGTACTTTTTGCTATCTGAAACACAGGAAACACTCTCTTATTATCCTTCATGCTGCGCCTATAACACTCTGCCATCTTGGAAGCCCTTTTCTTTTCTCCAGGTTTAAGATCCCGCCTATTCGATATGAAGTACTTTTGGCTTTGAGGAAATTTTCCTGCATCATGGCCATCAAATTATAATACAGTAATACATACATGAATTCAAATTATAGACAAACTCTAATGAGGAATGACTAGTTTGTATTACCTTCACTTGAGCTTCCTCTTCTCTCCCTCTTTTCTTCCGTTATTACATGACTTACATCCTCAGTCTCTTCTTCGTCTTCCTTCCACAAAGAATAATCCTCTGATGATGAGTCACAAATCTCAATTTCTTCTTTAGCCACACTACCATGGTTGATGTGGAGATTACTTGTACAAGAGAATCTTCTTGAGATTGAATTGGAATTAATGGAAAAGTGACAACCCTCTTTCTCGCAACCACTCTTGTCAAACACTGACACCTCAAACGAGGAGTCTCCAACAAAACGGAACACTAAGAAGTCATTTGTTTCCACTCCATTGTCACGAACAAACTGTTTCCATCCATCTGTAAACACCAATGGCCTTTCATCATATGTACTCGAGAGTCTGATTTTCCATTTGTGTTTACTTGGCGCTATAAGTGTACACCACGGGGAGAGTTTCTCCTTGAAACACTCCATGAACTTCTGAGGAATATTCTGCAAGAAATGTTCACCAAAAAATTCAATCAAGTGAGCTAATATATATTAATAATATAAGTGCAGTTGCTTTCATAACATATTTTCCTACCATTTGGTGCTCAAAATCGCCATACATGACCTTGAAGAATTGGTGTTTTGTTGCAGGAAGTTCAGACCAATAATTATAATTCTCCGCAATTTTACAGCCTTCGCATTTCTTCCCCATAACTGCAGTGATAAATTTAGGTGACACCGAACATAGAAATAACATAGAAATTCAGACATTATTCATGTTCCCATATTATATGTCAGAATTTACTCAAACTCCTGAAGAATTGGTGCTAAATTGTAAGGAATTCAGACCAATATTTATAGATCTGCTATTTCTCAACCAGTGCATTTTTCTGCAATGATAAGTTTATGCAACAACACTTATATAATGACTAATAACATAGAATTTATGCATCCGAATGCATAAAATCAACTATTCAATTTGAAGCCATGCCAAAGGTCAATGCAAAGTACTAGATAAACACTAGACTACTAGATGTTTACAATCTAATCACTACTTTCTCTGCTCTTCTGATTTTATTAAACCCTAAAACCCTAAACTTTAAACTAAAAAAAACCAAAAAAAAAACATAAATTCGAAGATAAACCATACTTGTTATCAATTCTAAACATTAAACCCTAAAACCCTAAACTTTAAACTAAAAAAAACCAAAAAAAAAACATAAATTCGAAAGAAATTCGAAAATAAACCAAAAAAGAAAAAACATAAATTCGAAAACATTGAAGTAAAAAAAAGAAATTCAACATGCAAACATCAAATAATCATTATAAGCAATTGAAACATGAATAAACATATAAATTCTAACACTTAATTCATTATTTCGAATACAAAATACCCAAACATAATTAGATAATTTAGATTTACATTAAAAAAAAATAACTTACCGGAGAAATGGAAAATCGCGCAGTAGCTGTCTCATGCGGTGGTCGGTGGGCGCCTGGGCTTCGCCTGAGAGAGTGAGGAAGGCAGGAGGTGTCGGCGGTGGGCGTTGCCGCGTTGGGCTGAGACTGGAGACAGTGAGCGTGACTGCGTGAGGGAGAGGGGGAGACAACCTGTTTGTTAGGGTTAGAATGAAATGAAAGAGAACTGAAGCGTCACTCAAGCAGCAGCGTTATTTTGATTTTTGAATTTTTTTTTTTTTTTAAAAATACAATTTTTCCGGGTTTCAGGTCCGGACCTGAAAACCCCGGGTTTAGACCGGGTCCGGACCGGAACCGGGAACCTTGATTTTTAAGGAACGGGACCGGACCTGAATCAACAGGTCCGGGTCAGGTCCGGTCCGAATCAGGTCGGTTCAGGTCCGGTTTCAGATCCGGTCCAGTTTTTGTACACCCCTATGTACAACAGTACAACTTGTCCGTAAGCCAAAAACAAAAGAACCGCCAAAGATATTCCTCGATCCTATACTTTTGGATCTCCCAATTTTATCATCTTCACGCTCTTCAATATCATTTAGCCACACAAATTCATTTGTTTTTCTCCCTAAATTCATCATTTCCAGATACCATTCATGTATTAATTCTTCAATATTATTCGCCTTTTGCTTCGATTTCGGGTAATCAATTAATTTTCCAGAATTTGATTTTCTCGCTTTATGTTACATTTGATCATCCATTTTAATTGTATTAGTTGAATTCGAACTTTAATTTCAAATTTACGCTCTCATTTTGATTACTTTTATCGCATCCATTTCGAATCTTCGTGAAGTTTTTTGCGGGATATTTAAAAAAAATGAAAAAAAAATAAAATTAATTTAATAAATTTAGGGATTATATTGATTGATTGATTTCATTTTTTTAGGGTAATTTTTTGAATAATGGATCGTCTTAGTTCACCGGCACGGCTAATGATAGTTTCAGATCTTGATCATACAATGGTAAGGTGGTTTAATCACTTAAAATTCATCAAATTCTGGAGTTTTTGATCTGAAAATGAGTGATTTCTGCATTTTAGGTTGATCATCATGATGCTGAGAATCTATCTCTTTTGAGGTTCAATGCTTTGTGGGAATCGAATTATCGCCACGATTCGTTGCTGGTGTTTTCGACTGGAAGATCTCTAACCCTTTACAAGGAGTTGAGGAAGGAGAAACCCATGTTGACTCCAGATATCACAATTATGTCAGTAGGCACTGAGATTACATATGGTAAATCCATGGTGCCGGATGACGGTTGGTTCGAAATTTTAAGTCAAAAATGGGATAGGAATATAGTGATTGAAGAGGCCAGCAAGTTTTCTGAGCTCAAGCCTCAGGTATATAGTTATGCTAATGATTTGTAGTCTTGTATTAGTTGTTTTAGCTTGGTGAATTTGCCTGGTTGAATGCAACAACAACAGCAACATAGACTTAGTCTCAAAATGACTTGGGGTCGGCTAACATGAATTGTCACAAGCAACTGTAAAGTGATAGTAGATGTAAAAAAAACGAGAAAAAATAGTGACCAAAAAATGTAGTTTTCTTCATCTTCAAATGTTTTTTGTTAACAAAGAGTTTTTTTCATATTAGTTTTATTATATGGAAGTATCATAGTTTAATCTATGTGCGGTTGAGGTTGGGTGGATTGGCTGGAAAGTGTTTTGACGTTGGAGAATAATGATCGTGTCTGAAATCTGATTGTTATGTCAATAGAGCAATGTTCCTGTCAAACCTTTTCATGTAGTTAGCTACGTAGGGAAAGTAGTGTAAGTGAGATGGAAGAGTCTTTCTCTGCACTAATTATTACATGTCTCTGCACTAATTATTACGAAGTATGATAGTAGTATATGATTTATATTTCTGTATTTCTTAGTTTTTGAGTCAATGCAGGCTGAGACAGAGCAACGGCCACACAAAATTAGCTTTTACGTTGAGAAGGAGAAAGCACAACAAGTGACTAAGGATCTTTCCGAGAGATTGGAAAAGCGTGGGGTAATAGCCTCTTATTATTGTAAAACAAGATTTGATTTAGTCTTCTATTCTTATTTTGCATCTCTGGAACTTAAAGCTCTCTTGTTTCTGAAATTGGTGGCTTTGACTATTTTCCAGTTGGATGCAAAGATAATATACAGTGGAGGGATTGACTTGGATATATTGCCACAAGGGGCTGGAAAAGGACAAGCACTTGCTTATTTACATAAGAAGTTTAAGTCCGAGGGTAAACTACCCATCAATACCCTTGTATGTGGTGATTCTGGAAATGATGCTGAGCTCTTCAGCATTCCAGACGTTCATGGTGTCATGGTTGGTTGCTAGATCACTTATTTATCACAGTTTCATATTTATTAAGGCAGATGTGGTAACTTTTTCTGTAGTGAATGTATTGCAGGTTAGCAATGCTCAAGAGGAATTGCTGCAATGGCATGCACAAAATGCAAAAGGAAATCCCAAAATTATCCATGCAACTGAAAGATGTGCTGCTGGAATAATACAGGCTATTAGTCACTTCAACCTTGGTCCCAGCATCTCTCCTAGAGATGTTATGGATTTTACTGAATGTCAGCTGGAGCATGTGAACCCGGGTCATGAAATCGTTAAATTTTACTTGTTTTATGAGAGATGGAGACGTGGTGAAGTTGAAAACTCTGAGTCGTACTATGCAAGCCTCAAAGTAGTCTGTGTATGTTATGATTTACCTTCACTATCCTCCTTTTGAATGTTTATTTTGCAAATTACCCATGATTGCAATGCATGTCTTTTTTAAACATTAAATACTCTAAGAGTCTTTTTTTCTTCCCTATGTGTCGTGTTCTTTCCTGAGACAATTCGCTGACTTTACACTGTAGCTCTTTTCTTTATTCCACTTATATAATAAAAGTATGTTTTGTATTATGTTTTACAGAATATCTTTCACCAATTCTCACTTATTGTGCTGTTGTTTTAGCTGACTGGATTTCTTGAGAATCATGTAGTTTCATTCTTTCCAAATATAGAGCATGATTATATTCTTATAATAAATGGACATTTTTTCGTTTATTGATCACCATCTTAAAGTTGAATTGAGACTTGACAACTGGCCAAAATTTTGAGTAACTGGTAAATATATAATATATATTTTTTTTGTTGTTGAAGTTTCATGGTTGATGATGTAATCTATATGTAATGAAAAAAACAAAAAAAAATTAAAATGCTTTTGTTTAGTTCAGTGGAATTGGTTATGTTTTCTTTTACTTGAGAGTGATTTCTTCCTATGCAGTGATTTCAAAAATGTATTATGCGAAAGCAGTGGTGGACTGTGCCATTTTAGTCCAAAGTTGGATAGCTTTCTAAATTGTATCAGGTTGAGAAGGTTTTGCAAGTTGATTTATTTATTTTTATTTTTGTTAATATTTCTTAGATCACAAAATCTGTGTTTTGACTTTTGAAATGCTGTCCTTTTAAGGTACTCAATTTCCCAAGTTTTCTGGTACTTAGCTTGTTACCCTTGGAGAAAATGAATGCTTACATGGTTATGCTTTTATGGTGGTTATCCCTGTTGAATATGCATTTGTTGTCTTTCTAAATATAAAGCCTTTTTCCTGTTTGCATTTGGTGGGTCATAGAAGATATATTGAGAAAATGTTTATGAATTTACCACTTTCTCTCTGATACATCTATAATCAATTTTCTTCTGTCTTCTATTTTGATCTGTGACAGCACTTAGCTATTCTGTTAAGAAGGTGTTCTGATCTTGGTCTATGGAGTATGTAACAGCTAAATGTAACCATATCGTTGGATTCTATCTTAAAAGCATAGTGGATAGTACTTTGTTTCGTTGTGTTATTATTGTACTTACTAATATTTAAATCTTTGAACTACGTATATTACTCCTAAACTATTCTTGTTTCATTTCCATCATTACAGCATCCTTCAGGGGTTTTCATCCATCCATCTGGGGAGGAGCTCTCTCTTCATGACAGCATAGATAAACTTAAAAAATGCTATGGAGATCGCCAGGGAACAAAGTACCGAGTTTGGGTTGATCGCCTTTTGCCAACAAGGATAAGTAATGATGCATGGCTAGTGAGTTTTGATAAATGGGAATCGACTGGTAAGGACCTTTTTCTTAAAAAAATTAATTATTTTAATTCACTAACCTTACTTTTCATGCTGTATTAATTTTGCTCTGTTTTCATGGTAGTGATATTAAGTTGTTTTCTACCCTAGAAACTTATTGTCCTTGGGTTAGTTTTAAGGAAAGTAAAAATGGCTGGAACAGTGAACAAGACATTGACATTCTATGAATTTGATGCAAACATAGATGATTTTTTATTCTTAACATGGGAATTGTGATAGAGTAGAGATGGTAAACAACTCTGTCAGATCTGCTTTAGGACCAGTAATTTTCAGTTTGGATCTTTATTGTGAGTGATTATCCCAAATATGTAAAAAGATAAGACATCACTTATTCTGGAACAATAGCCAAAAGATAAGACATCACTCATAAAAAGAGGAAGTATTTCTTACACTAAGGCACTGATTGGTTTGAAGTTAAATATTTTCAATAAAGAATGAGTTTTCATGGAAAACCACAATTGCAAATTAGTTTCCTTCATTTTTGGTTCCTTACAAGAAAAGTTATAGAGATTAAAATTAGGAGTGGAAAGGTGAGGATGAATGAGAGGAAAGTAAAGAGGATGGAGGAAAATGCGCCTTCCCTTGTTTTGTAAAGGAAAATGTTTTCCACCATTGAGAGTGTAATTATCCACCAATGGGAAAAATTATTTTCCACCCATTCACAAACCAAACAAAGGAAAATGCGGGAAAATTATTTCCATGCAAACATTTTACATCAAACCAAACACACCCTAAACTGAACAAAGAGATAAGAGAAGATAATTTAATAGGATAAAGAGTGCTACAAGAGAGAAGGTATAGGAGATAGAAGAAAAGGAAAAGACGATTGATAAGTTCAAGTGTATTTGTTGATCCTACAAGAGAGAATATAAAGGAACTAGAAGGAGCTAGTTGGGTTTGACCCCTTATTTATCTGCTGTTTAGGTTTGGTAAAATTTGGACATGGAGTAAAGTTTTATGTTCCAAACTTATAAAACCAGTTGTTTTTCTGCTCATTGTAAAGACGAATAAAATCTAGTCAGGTCTAGAAAGGACAAGTCCATGAAGTACCTTGAATCTTATTGCTGTTTTACTTGTCTATGATATTGATGACTTGAGATGTCGAGTGGGAAGTTGCTGTGAATGATATTGTCATTGGAGCACGTGC